GAGTAGTACTTGCCATATTTGTTGGAGGGGTATTTTTGTCCGCTGTGCTTGTTGTGATACCCCCAACACTAGTAAATTATATAGAATCATGCCAGCAATTAAGAAATTTCACCACAATATAATAATCTACTACATCATTATAAACAATCTCTAGATGGAACGAAGCAAGAGAACGAGTAAATTCACCTAATGTCACTGGACATCCATACAACCGGTGAGGCCCACCAAACACACAAAGAAAAAAGACTCATAATGAAGAACCAGAAGTTCATACGAAAAAAGAACCAAACCCCCAAAATCAAACAAGGACACATAGCCAAAACGAAAGATTGGTACAGCAGATCTAAAACATCTATAAGCAAAATAATAAAATAAAAATTAAGGGCAAAACTACCTTGATCACCACACTAGAAGATGCGGCCATAGCTAGAGAGAACCCAAAATCCACGCAACAGATGATATATCCTTCTGCACAGCCTCGCTTATCTCCTACAAAAAGAGAAACCCTATCCCTACAAGTTAATCAGATTGTGTCAAAGGGCAAACGGCCAACGAGCAAAACAATAAATCCTAACGAAAATCAACCCGATTCGATCAAATAATCAGGGCAATCAACAGCGCACCCGTGAGCCGGTTCCAGTCTAGAATCCTTCTCCGTGTGGGTAACGTAAAAAGCCGTGAAGAGATGATAGAGAAGTGCACATTTATAACTGCGAATGAGTAGGCAGGCGGAGGGAGGCGAAAGGATTTTTGGTTGATTTTTTAATTTCCCATTTTTTTTTTTTCTTATTCTATATACTATAAATTATTGTAAGAGTTTCTTGCTTAAGAGGAAAGGAAAAAGTCTCTCAAGTTTGTTTATCGAGTGGAGCAATTATGTAGTTGTAAGTTCTATGAAGTGAGGGGTCCACCAAGCTTTTCTTATCTAAAGCCTTGGCCCCTTTATCATACGTAGACGAGTGGATCCAGAACAATTTTTATGAGCAGGGCAAAAAAAATTTTAACTATATTACACAAAATACTTACATTAACAATTAAATAAATCGTTGGAACAATTGAATGCTGAAGGATTTTCTATTTAATTTGTTTTTGACTTGATGTTAAAAAATAAAATTGAGAACCATGTCTGGTTATTTTATTTTCTGATTATTTTATTTTGCGTTTTAATTAATATTGAGAAATATGCTAAAAATATTTTACAATCAGTTTTTCATCTTTTTTTTTTTAATAGAAAATAAATAAGCCATTTTAAAATATAATTTATTAACTTAAAAAAGCCTAAATGTCATTATTTTTCATGTTATTTTATAAAGATTTTCTTATGGATTATCTTTTTATATATAAATGTAGAGTTTTTCATTGTCAATTTTCAACGCTTTGTAATTCTATATGTCAATTTGAAAGGATTCGAAATAGTCCATATAACTATGGATCTTTATCCATAACTTTCAAGTTTAAACTATTCGGTAACATAAATTGTAAATATATTTTAAAAGTTAGTAACATTTGTATATATTGGCCTTGTTTGGCAATTAGCGGTTAGCTGTTAGCGGATTGCATTAGCTGTTTTGACTAGCGGATGGTGTTAGTTGTTTTGATCAGCTGATTGTTTTAGCGGTTTCCAAAAGAGTGTTTGGTAAATTAACTATTTTTAATCAGCTGTTAACATGTAAAATTACTTATATGGACATATATTCTTCTATATTCTTGTTTATTTAAAATTATAATTATATAGAAAATAACTATTACTTATATTTAAAATATTTGTAAAACGGCTTAAAATAACATAACACAAATAAGAAATAGCAATATATAATTGTGAAGTGAAAAAAGTAATGAAGATTTTAATTTGTCATGATAACAAACATTCAAATAAAAAAAATAAAATGTAAAAAAATCGCATATCAATTATCAACCTTTAATACTCTTCCTCTATAAATTTGCACATAATTTATCACTCAATCTTTCTATTTTATTTTTATTTTTACAGAACACCTAATTTACTTAATTTCAAATGTCAATGAAGTGTTTAAAAAAATTTGAGTTCATTTATAATCTCAATTTTATTTTTAACCCAATATATTAATGTGATAAAATATAAATCTATTTTCTAAGCTAACTTTGATTTTTGACCCAAATATGCTAGTGTGTTAAAATAATATGAGGTAGAGTTAATGTAGTAGAGTTAATTAATGGCAAATAAGCCATTTTATATTTTTTTCCTCAAAAAGCTATTTGAAAAAGCTTCAATTTGTAGCTTTTTGAAAAACAGCTTTTAGATCAAAAAAGCTATTTCAAAAAGCTATTAACCAAATATTTTAAAATTGAAGGATTCAAAAATCAAACAACAATTTTGCTCAAAAAGCTAATTTGTAGCTGAAACGCCATTTAACAAACATGGCCATTAACATTTCTTATATATGATAACTTAAATTTTGACAATATATAATTTCACATTCATATTGTATATGTAAACTAAAATAATTATATCTAACTGATCTCTATCAATAAAAATTTAAATACTTATCAATTATAATTGAAAAACAATAAATTTATCTATCAAACTTATTATACGGTATAAGTATTAAAAATGTTCTAATATAATATCGTCGAATCAGATTGGTGGGATGTATCATTTTAAATAAAAATTATTATGTTATTTTGTAAGAATTATTGAAAATTTTAAAATAAAATCTTGTATTTATATTTTTACATATATTAATTATAAAATTTTAATTAACTCATATTAACTATGTGTAGTTAGCACAACAAAATTGAGCCTAGACAATTGCCTAGGCTCGCCCTAGTGTAGATCCGCCATTGAGTGGAGCTATCATAAATTGAGTGTTTAATGAGCTAAGCCAGCTAAAATGTGCCAGTAATCAATCTCAGCTCGTTGCTCGATTCACTATTAACAAGCAAAATCTGAACTTTGACGAGTCAAGTGGAGTAGAACATAGAAGTAGCTCATTCATATAACAGATTTAATCGTGTGCATGTAAATTTATTGACCTTTTATATGAACCTAATCGATTCGTAGCTCATTCATATACCAAATCTAATCGCGTGCATGAAAATTTATTGACTTTCTATTCGAGCCTAATCGATTCGAGTTCCATATTTCAACTCGTGTTGGTTTGATAAACTAATGGGCTTAATTACGCTTGTCTCATATATGAAAATATTGTGAAAGTTGAGGTTAGCTCGTGTAAGCTGTAAGAAGAATTGGTTTTATGCCGATTTTACGATTTCATTTTTTGGAAGTGGAAGACTTAAAAATTCTCAAAACCATTGTAAGGTGAATGGGAAATTAATTGTAAGTTGTATATGTGGGAAATGTAAGGTTGAAGTAATGAGTTTAAGTAACTCAAATTATTGGATTCATAAAATATTTTGTCTTTGAAGAATGTTATGTTAATCCAAACGAGACCTCTAGAAAGGTTCGTTAGGGACGAGCAGGAAAAAACGACACTCGATTCCGAGTCCGTATGAGCTCGTACGAGCTCGCGTCGCACGGGCGCGCAGCTGGCTGCGGATACCGAAAGATTGCAACCTTTGATGACTATAAGGTGTCTTTATGGGACTAATCTTTTGTAACCATATATCATTTGAGATACATATCTCTAAAAATCTTGTAAGAACAATAACACTTTTCCAATTTATAAAATTCTACCTTTTTTATGAATTCACAGTGTAGAGAATCGATAAGTAGGAATGTACATGTTTTTTGGGGGTTAATTTACACTGACAATTTCATATTAGAAACAAAAGAAGCGTGTGAATGAATTAATAGGTATTGTTTGGATTCTTCAAAAACTGTGTCGTCTGGTGTGATAGCAAAGCTTTGTGTTATTCAAATGGCGTTGGTAAAATTCTTGCTGTTGTATTTAATTTATTTCAGGCTTCAACTTCATTTTCTTTGAGAAATTTAGTGCATGACATCAAAAGAAAATTAATGCTAATTAAGCAAGAAATTGGGATTAATTAATTATTGCAGTATAAAATGAATGATGAGCAAGGTGCATAAATCATAAATGTGTTCTTTGACTTGTGTGGCACTTACTCTGTCTGTCTGTACACATCGATCGATCGGTTAACATCATTTATTAATCAAGCTGTTATGATCAGTCAATCGCTATTAATTAACCAAAAAAAAAAATGATTGATGAGTAATTCGGTTAATTATCTTTTCTGACTGACACTATTAAAGCAAAATGCATCTTTTTCATAAACCCAATCAATCAATAGTCACAAACCATTAATTTAATTTGGAAGTTCAAACAAGATAAAATTTGAAAATTTCTATCTACTAATTGAATCAGAAGAAATATTGAACAAGGAACAAATCATTAATTCTCACCACAAACAGCTAATTAATATCAACATCCCTCTCTGTGTATTGTATGCTTTAGTATCTATATTTGCTTCAAGGCATCCTCCATGTTTTCACCAGAAATTGATGATGCCAATGGAAAATTACTAAAATCTCCTCCCTCATCATCATACTGAAACTGGAAAACTGATTCCAACTTATCATCCTCACCTTGCCAACAAAATGTGCTCACATTCCCCATATCATCGTTGTTATTCCTCCGGTTATTTGCTTCTGAGCAATCATTTCTTGAGCTTCCTTTAGCTACTTCACTTATCATGTCAGCACTGATCATTCTTGAACAACCATCAGCTTCGACAATTTTTTGGCAGTCCAAATTCGTCAAGTTCAACATCGAGCTGAAACTCTGGTTATGATCACAAGGCCTCGGTTCGTATGCATTTTGTTGAAAACCGGACGAGAACAGTAGAGGGCCATGATAATAGTCTTGTTTTCTCATTAGTTCATCTCTTGAGGACTGAAATTCCCCTGTCTGGTCATGATCATTGAGTGAATGTGAGTCCACCATTTGACGAATTTTTTCGCTTTTCAGTTGAGGCATTATTTGAGTTATTATCGGCTTGTGAGTGTTTGGATCAATGCCTTGGTTTGTTAGTTTCTTCTTGAGCGTCGAGTTCCACATGTTCTTGATCTCGTTATCGGTTCTTCCGGGCAGTCGTGTCGCGATTTGAGCCCACCTGCCATTTCAAATTCAAATTAAAATGTAATTCTAACCGAAGAGAAAAAAAAAAAAAAATGTAACCCAAACAGACACTAGTTAATTAAAATAAGTGAAGATGAAGTGATTAAAAAACATTTATTAATTCACAGAGAGCTAGCTAGCTTATAATTAATTAGTTATATAATAATGAATAAGCGCACCTATTGCCGAGAGTCTTGTGTAAAGCAATGATCAAATCCTCCTCATCTTGTGAAAACATTCCTCTCTTGAGATCAGGCCTTAAGTAATTTATCCATCTCAATCTGCAACTCTTCCCACATCTTTGCAAACCTGCCAGTCACAAAACCCAAAAAAAAAAAATAAAATAAAATAAAATCCAGCATATACATATATATTTTCTTTTCATTCATAACATATGATGATATATAATCTTCTAAGCATGCATGCATGCTAAACAAGAATGAGTGACATTAAGAACCTGCTAACTTAGGCACAGAGCTCCAGCAACCTACACCGTACTTAGTAATGTGATTGTGTAGTTTTTCATCTTCTTCGGGTGACCACAAACCTTTCCTCATTTTCTGCTTTGCATTGCACGAATTTCGCCCCATATTTTCGAGTCACGTTTGTCTGTGAAGAACAATATAATGAGTATATATAGTATGATCAAAGAAAAAAAAAAATTATACTAAATAATAATCTTTAATTATATATATATTTGAAGTGGTTTGGAGGGGGCAAATCTTGGTTCTGTTTTTTTGCAAATTGGACTACTTGATTGGGTTTTAAAGTAAAAATAGGTGTGTGGAAATTAAAATGGGAGTTTGTGCAGTAGTCTAGACTTATAAGTAAGCTTGGCTTTGGGGGGACCTTAATTTGTACTACTTTTATTCATTTCTGGGCCGCCAATTAGTCTTATCTATTTCATTTTATCTTACAAAAAAGTGCTAGAAAACCCGGGCTCTGTTATATATATCTTTATTATATTATTATCTTCATTCATGATGAAAATCAACTTACATTGTTTGTTTCTCACAATAAGAGGACTTTG